GTGTTGATGACGTCACAACCCCTTACAAAGTTGGCAGCAAACCAAGAGGTTTTTTTTGCTGAGAATCATGCTGCAATTAAGTGGCAGGGACATAAATTTAACCCAGGTTTGTCTAGTGCTGAAGCCTTTTTAGTTGCACAGGGTCCAGCAATGAGATTCACTGCCCCTTTTCCCAGAGGGGCAGCCACATCTGGTTACCCCACGCCTCTTGGGGGTCCATGAGAACCCTGATTTGTGGAAGCCGTTCCAGTGATCGAGGGGACCAAGAGGTCTCTTTCACATAGGTTCGTCCCTTTGGGGTCAAGGTTTTGATTGCATATGAGGGAAATGCTGGAATTAATTCCCCTGAAGTTTATCCAGGTGGCCCTGTGCTAGACATCGTGGGAGAGAAGTGACCTGGCCCTGAGCCACTGTCGAGCTCACGATCGGGAAGTCGGTCTTTGAGTCCTCATAGTCCTTGTACGTGGAGACTTGGCTGCAAGGGATGGAAAGTCCAATGCAAACGGGTTTATTGGCTTGCGTAATAGGACATTGCAAGAGTCAGGACAGCTTCTGGGTTCATTGAGGTGTCTCTAGCTCTGCACTTGGCTTTTTTTCTCAGAATCAGCTTCATTCTTGGGCTCCTGTGGAGTCAGTAGCTCCAGCTTCACAGCCCCCCACTTCCCAGCAGTCAAGCCTCTGCCTCTCCCAGAAGCCCCAGCAAAAGTCTAGTTGGGTCTTTCTTGTTTGAACTGGGTTAGGTATTATCCCTAAATCAGTCACTGTGACCAGAAAGTCTGTACTTGATTGGCTTAGGCCTAGAGCCCCTACTCTAAGCCAGGAGCAGAGGGTGAAACCCCCATCTGAAGTACATCTCCCCAGGAGGAAACCGGAATGTGTTACCATCAGAAGGGGGAATGGATTGGAGTAGCTGAGAACATGTTTTAAGTAATTTCATAGGCTTCATCTGAAATTGACTTCCCACAGCCTGCTGTGCGGTGATGGACTCTGGCAGACATTCATGTCACATGATCCTATTCCAGCCACAGCTGATTGGCCAGGGGTGGACACCTGACTAAGTGGCTTGATCCTTAGACCAGTGATACCAATGGTGCCAGTAGTGTGTACCTCATGTCGCGATAGGTTCTGTGACTGTAAGCAAAACAACATAAAACCAGTTTTACCGTGGGCTAATGGATATAAACAAGAGTTAAGTTCCCATGGTATCTCATCGTTCTAATGAAACAACGATGAACAAAACAACACTAAGGACCCGCTGTCCAGGTTCATGAGGGTGGATTGTGCACACTTCTTTCTAACTGCATTAAGTAAGTGAAATCAGCCGTGGTGGGATTTGCACTGTGGAAATGCAAAGGCTACAGATTCGGGATTTCATTTTCTTCAAAGAGCCAGTTGCTAAACATTTATTAGCTTACCACTGACTCTCTCCAGATTCTCCATTCCATGAATTAGGAAGAAGTTAGGAGCTGTTGGGCATCTGAATGAGAAACCCCTGTGGACTGGGGTTCGGAGTAGCTATGTTTGGTCAGACACAAGCAGGACAGAGGAGGAAAAGAGAAGCAGAGATGGCCAGAGGAAACCAAGAGCCAGTGGCAACTTCAGGTCCTGGTTTCAGCCTTCATCTTCTGGCCAAGTTTAATTTCCTGCTTGTTCTCACCTCAGTGAATTTAGTTGCTAGTGGTGTGACATTGGGTAAGTACTAAACCTTTCTATGACTGATTTTCTCATACATAAAATGAGGGATATAAGAGTAACCAACTTACAGGGTGTATGTGAGGATTAAATGAATCAATACATGTTTAATGCTTAGAACTGTGCCGGGAACTCAGTCAGTACCCAGTTAAGTGTAGTTGTTATTTGATGTAACCCTGGTGGATCTATGTCTCTTAAGATCAATGAACTCCGACAACAGCTGAAGATGAGAATTTTCAGGGGCAGCATTTAAGCTGACACAGCAGGGTGGGGCCACTGAGACAGGTGAAGACTTTGTAGGTAGCTGTGACACCTAGGAGAATGGGAATCTGATTTTCACCTGCTCACCTGGGAGCTCCTGCTGTCACCGAGGACCCCAGCATGTGTGCTGAGGACAGTGTTGATGGCCAGGGAAGTAGCTGCAGAAGGAACTTTATCCCCTTTATTATTCCTGCTTCAGCCCAAGCCCCTCTGCTGCCCCCACCCCCACCTTAGGCCTCTGCGTGAAACAAAGGAGGGAACCCATTCCCAAGAGGTTGCTCCCAAGAAGTTGTCCACTGTTCCACTCTGTAGCTCCCTTGACTCCTCCCCCTCCTCGGGAAGGTCTTCACCCATAAGCATGAGGCTGCCAGATCCCAGCATCTGGAAAACCCTGACTCTGTCATCATTTCCTCTTTAAAATGGGAAGTGGCTATTCTTTGGTGAATTATTTGCCCTCTTTGGTGAAGGCAAGGAGAGGGAGAAGGCAAGTTACATTTTCTGGAGCACCACAACAAACCCTGCAGGGAGGATAATTGGCATCCCCACCTTACGTATGAGAAAACTGAGACCCATCAAAGGGATTTGTCTGTAGTCACACACAGAGTGAGAAGAGCCATTGTCTTCCAGGTCTCTAGTGCCCCAGAGGTCATGTGTGTGACCACTGAATATTCTCAGGTAAGACGGAGGACACTGTCCCACCAGAGGAAGGGATATGCCAGCTCATAGTCATCAAGCAATAACCTGTTCTTAGGCATACCTGGTCTGTTCTCATATCTATTCTAGAGTCCAAAAGTCTTCCTGGGTTTTGCAATTCTAGGTTAAGTAGGGGGCACTGGGGAACTCTGAGCTGCTTTTGAGAGGAGAGATAGCTCTCATCTCACATAAGCAATAATTAACCTGCTTATAAAAATTAGTAGACTGTAAAAACCATCAGGATTGGTTTATAGCTGGAATTGCTCTCCTACCTTGGAACAGTGGAGGCCATTAAAAATGCAAGGTCTATGAGAATACTACATAATGGATTCAGGAGATCTGGAGTGAAATCCCACCTTCTTAGAGCCTCAGTGTTCCCAACTGTCAGACAATATCTCAGGGACCTCCAGCTATTAATTTTCCTGTCCCCTTGGCTCTGTGACCTCCTTTCCTGGAGGACCTGATGGCTTCATTCCTATTTGAAGCCTGTGCTTTTCCCTGTTGAGAATGAAGAGTCTGAACAGCAGCCACGGATCAGGAAATTTCTCTCCTGGATATCGGGGTCAAACAGCCCTATGGGCCCCGGAACAAGGAAATGCAAGTTTTGTGGACTTCCACTCTCCAGGAGAAAGGGCCATAAGGACACTTTGGGAATAACTTATTTTATTATAATGTCAACGAAAGAACATCCAGCCTATAGAAATGTCTTATAAGAGTCTGAGTCAAATTTTGAGGACATGCCTGGAATCAAAATCTCAACTGACTGACAAAATACTGTGGAGAATGGCAGTTTTGCACTTCCTTTTATGCACTTAGAATCAAAGGAGAAAACGTGCATGAAATCCATTGGTGGTAGATTAAGGAGGTGGGAAAAGGAAAGTGGGGAAATCCCTAGGACTGGATAAAAAGCAAAATGAAGAAAGACATCTTTTACATTGATGGTACAGGAGAGTTAGTAATTAACATTACAGCACATAAAGTTGGTATGCAGGGAACAATATAACAGTGAGGGGCTCTGTGGTCTGGTGCTCTGGTGCCAGAAGTTGTGCCTTCAGGAGGTCTAGAAAAGAAAATTACTCTGGTATCTCAAAGGTATGTTATCCTAGAAGCATCAGAACAATGGACAGGGCTCGCTTAAGGTAAAGACTGACCTTTGCTAAGGAAGCTATAGGCCAGGGATGCCACCATGGCCTGCCCAGTTAGGAATTTATGATCAGGCCATCCTGTGTGGTTGGTTACTTTGGGTCACTGAACTTGTCAGCACTGCCATGTGGCATTCCTGAGCTTGTCAGGTTTATTTTATAGCCCCTCTTTCCGTTCACGGTAATATTACTTAAATGTGTACAAATTATGCGTGAGGGTGGGGGTAGTGAAAGGGCAAAGCCAAGGAACTGGATGCCACTGGTCTCTCTCTCTGTGGCTCATGCCCAGGGGCAGCTCCATTTTGCCCGAGCACCAGCCCTGGCCCTCCAGCTGCTGACCTCCCAGACTAACTCATGTTAAGCCTCTGTGTCTTTAGGCAAGTTATATTACCTTTTTGTGCCTGTCTCCCTATTAAAAAAAGGGGTGGGTTGATTAACCCACCTCAGGAGGGGTCAGCTGAATTCGGTAAGGTCAGAGGAGAAAGGCCTATGTGTCTCATCCCTATTGAAAGTGAGGGAAAGGAGATCTTTCTCTTTCAGCAGAAGCTCCCTATAGTGTAAACTCTGACAGTTTTTTTTCTCTTTTTTTGTAATGCAAGTGCCTGATTTCAGCTTTGATTACCAAGGCATCCACTTCAAAGAGGGCTATCTTGAATAAACACTTTACCAGCCACTAAAGAGCCAGGCTGCCTCCCCTGATTGAGGTTCCTTTGTTTTCGAGATCTAGGTTGATTGCCATAACTAACCATTTGCGCTACTTGTTTGTTTTTTCTCTCTTCCTGAGCTTTAAATTCCTGCTCTTGTATTTTGAATACACCAATAGAGTGAGCTCATGAAACCGTAGGACCCCACCCTCTATCCTAATAAAAGCAGAACCTCAAGCAATGGATGTGTGCAAGGTCTCTATGCAAGACCTTGCTGTGTGGCCTCAGCTGTGCTGTGTAATTTCCAGGTCTTGTAAGAAATATGCCTTAATTTTTTCAAAGTGCCCTGATGGTTAACGCTGAAGGGTGTCTTGCAGTCATAAAAGAATCACATGGGTAGGTCCAACCACAACACTGGTTATTCGTAGGCTGAGACCAGCACAAAACACTCTCGAAAGCCATGACCTCCACCTCTCACCTCCCGGGTGGCACACACAGGAGGTGGTAGGGCTATTTTCATTCCATCCCTCCCTGTCCTCCAAAGTGCCATGCTGCTTCCAGAAGGGATCCCGATGGCTTCAGGGTCTCTTCTTGCTGTTAAGCCTTCCCGGCGCCCAAGGTGTCCCGCAGGTGAGGTGAGGCCCAGCCGTGGCTTCCTAGTCGCGCACCAAGGCATACTCCTTGGGCGCCCAGAGCAAACGCGGGTGCCGGATCTCGGCTCTCGGGCCGATTTCCGGGCTCCAGCAAAACTCGGGCGACAGTACCTTGGCGGGCTTGTACAACCAGAAGTACTTGTTGAGGTGGCTCTCATCGTGCCAGCGCGCTTCGAGGCCGCGCGTGCGGTCCCGCTGCTGGCCCTGCGCGCAGTGTGCCGTCAGCTCGCGCAGCGCCTCCACGCTGCCCCCAAACAGGGCCGCGTGGTAGTAGAAGTCGCCTTCGCCCGGCGCCAGCGCGGCGGCCGAGCGCGCGTCCCGCTCATAGGGCAGCAGCCATTGCGGCCAGTGGTAGTGCCAGGCGTGCAGCTGCGCCACTGACTCGGCCAGGGACTCCGGCCCGAAGGCGCCGCTAAAGTGCTGGTCCACATCCATGCAAAACACGAAGTGCGCCTCACGGCCCAGCCGGCCGCCCAGCGCCGCGTGCAGCGTGCGCATGCGCTCCATCGACACGTCCTGCCAGCGCCGCTCGCGCTGCACGCGCTCCACGCGCAGCTGGCGGCTCGGGCCCAGCGGCAGGCGGGGCACGGCGGCTGGGCGCTCGGTGAACACGTAGTAGACCACGCGCTGGCCCACCATGAAGTGCTGCTCCGCTGTCTCCAGGAAGCGCGCCAGGTACTTCTCCAGGTATCTGCCGGGCGGGACGGGGCTCCAAGTAAGACTGGACTCGCCGCCCTGCATGTTCTTCGCCGCCTTCCCTATCCCCATAGTCCCTTCTCGCCCCTCCACTTCCCGACTCTGGCTTCCTGCTCCTCCAGACCTCGTAATCCTCAACCTCAGTGCCTGGAGCTCTTGAACTGTCCAACCCATGATTACAGATGATTGCAAGTTGTTTGCCACTCCTTCCCTCGGCCCTGTGTTCCCTTTCTTGAACAAGGGCTCTCCTGATTCCTTTGACCTATAGAGTACTTAGTAAGTGATGCTGTGCTGGCCTTTTGGAGGGCTGCCAGCGTTAGCCTTTGTCTTTAGAGCTCTGAGCCTTAGCTTAATAAGCAGAATTTAAACGCTACAGCAATGTGAGGAAACCCAGACTAACATCGCAGAGAGGCTGTGCGGAGAGAGATGCCCGCCACCAGTCTTTAGCAGTGTAGACTAGGTCTCCCAGTGGAGACCTAGACGCTGGGGAGCATTGAGTAGCTTTTCCTGTGGAGCCCTGTTGGAGTTACTGACCCACAAAACCATGAGCTATGATGATAATAAATTGTTCTTTTAAGTCACTGAGTTGTGGTAATTCCTTATATAGATAACCGGAACGTTTGTAATACCGGAGACTTTGTATTAACAGACTTTAGGATCTCAGGGTTCTGAAATAATGGCAATAGTGCTTAATATCCTTGAACATTTATGATGTGGCAGTGTTCTAGGTCAATGTACATTGTCACATTTAAACCTCACCATATATTCTTATTTCTAGTTTTCACATGAGGAAACAGCCACAAAGAGCTTTAGTAACTGGTGTAAGTGTACCTACACACAGTTGGTAAGTGGTAGAGACATGATCTGAACCCAGCTTGGCATTGAAGCCTGAACCTTTACCTGCACTTGCTGTATTCCTGGTGGATCTGTAATTGGAATCGGAGACCTTAGAAGCCCTCAGCATCCCAGTGTTAGACTCACAGAACCTCAGAATTCAGGACCTTTGGATCCTGGAATTTCTGGACTTGGAGATTCTGACCCGTAGGGCTGGTAAAGGAATACCCTACTTGGCATCTGGAATGGAACTGGGGGCACCAAGGCTCTTGGAGAAACCAGCATTTCTGCCCACCTGGCTCATGGCTCACCTCAGCCCTTGGTCTTGTTTGCCCCTTTGCCCCACAGAGATGCTCCTGGCTTTCTCTCCCTTCTAGAATGTGAAGGACGGAGTTGGAGGAGCTTTGGGGTATCTGATGACAGAATTCCTTCCCCACGCTTTCGGATATCTCTTCCTGGATGCAAAATTCTCACTACCTTCTCGAAGCAGTTTGTTCCATTATTAGAAACTCTTCCTTTAATTGCCCTGAACTCTACCTCTGTGCACCTTAGCATTGTAGAATCTGATTGCCACTCTCAGCCAGGAGTCCCCTTTGCATCTGGAAAGTGGACACCCAGCTTGGACACCCCTGCCATCCATAATGGGGAGATCAGTGCCCCTGGAATTTCTTTTTCACCTACCAGTCCAGCTCCTTCTTTGTACCTGGTGGCCCCTCAATTCCTCGACTGGCTTTCTCCTGCAGTGATCCTGTCCTCCAACCTGCTCAGTCATCTGCCCCCATGGCCACTCCCTTAGCTTGATCATCACAGTCTGTCCCACTCTGTGAGCCCCCCATCCTTCCAGCCACTTCCTGTGATACCTCCCACCCCCAGCAGTCCTACCTCACTGAGTGCTCTGGTCTGCTGACCTCCCCTCACCCACCACCGCTTCCTCATCATCCCTGTTATCTCTTCACTTGCCTCTCTATCCAGCTCAGAAACCCTCAGCTCTCCAGCTCCTCTCCCTCCATCAGTCTTGCTTGGCAAGCCTCTCCCCTTTCCCCTTACTGTGTGTCTGCACTTGAACTGCTGATCTCCAGTGGGCACTGACTGCAGCTGGGCCATTCCTCTATTTGTCCAATTGCTTTCCCCTTTTCTCACCACCCTCACTTGAATAACTCCATCGTTTTCTCACCACAAACCCAGTGCCTCCAGATGGATCCCTGGCCCCTGTGCAGGTTCTTTGTAGAACACAGTTCTGAGCCCCTATCTGCCTTTGTCGGGTGGGCTTTACACTGTTGGTGTCCAGGGAGGAGGGGAAGGGAAAGAATGGTCCTGCCCTCACTCTGGGACACGGGTGCTATCTTTGCCTTCTGCTTCGCCTTGGGATCCTTTGGCACAGGGAATAGGGTGCCCCACCACCTGCACCACATGCATATTCTTCCAGCTCCATGCCTGGACAGCACTGCTCCCCTCCCCAGGCCTTACCTGCCTACAGCAAAAACAGTCAGCCCAATAGTGAGGTTCTGCTGTATGGCCTCTTGCTGGGCCACATCTGGATCGAAAGTGCCATCCCAAAGAATGGGGGCTCCCCAGGAGGTACAGGTCAGGACATCAGGCCGGGCCCTGTCCGGGGCAAGAATGGGGAGATAAGTGCATTTATCCACCCACTTGGCACATACTCACTGCCCCATTCCACGCTGGGCCCTAGGGACCCCCAGATGGGTCAGACCCCGTCCCTAGCCCCAAACCAACAGAGAATTGGAAGATGCGTGACTGGCTGGGCCGCTGGGCAGAGCGTCAGGCTCTGCCAGGCTGGGGCGTGTGAGGGGGACAGGGATGCTGGAGTGCATACTGTAGGGGATATAGCCAATCTCAGTGGGAGGGATGGTAGCTCCTTACCAGAGATGCAGGAGACCTGTGAAGTTGTCTCTCAGGGACATTTTGGCCAAAGGGCAGGTGCCCATGGGGATGAAGATCTCCAGATGCCTGTGAGGTAGGGGCAGCAGTGAGGGACATGGCAGCCTGCCTAGAACCCCCTAATCCTTACAAGGAGGGAGCGCCTACAAGGATACTTGTGTGGGCTGAGATAGCTACCACCCTCCATCCCTCGAGGAGGCACTTGGAAAGATTCACTTTAACTCTGCCCCTGCGGGTCTCACCTTGAGTGCTGGTGGGAAGGGGGTGTACCTGACTCCAGGGAGCCCGTATAGGAGCAGCCCTAAGAGGCCAGCTGCAAGTAGGATCAGCCACCATAAGACTCTCTTCGAGGTCTTGCAGGATGGGGAGGGCATCAGCAGCACACACTTATATTTATATCCATGCAGATATCTATATACACATATTAGAAATTACGCAATTTAATGTTTCATTTTGATTTTTGAATATAAATATATTCTCTTCTTATGATACAGACACTCAGAGATACAAGAGGATGTGCAGTGCAAGGTCTTTCCTGTTCCCAGATACCTGGCTTCTCTGCATGGAGGCAGCCAGTTTCTTGTCTGTCCTTCCAGAGACTCTATGCACATACAGGCAATGTGGTAAATATGGTGGCAAATTCTCTCTCTTTTCCCCCACCCCATAGATGGTAGCACAGTAGATATGCCATTCTTCACCTTGCATTTTCCACTGACCATTATGTCTTTGAGGTTATTCCATCTCAGTACTTAAAGGGCTTCCTTACCCTTTTTTTCTAGCTGCCTAATATGCCATTGATTGGTGATAGCATAATTTACCTAACAAGGCATCTTCTGATGAGCATTAAAATATATATCCTTTGCTGTGGGGCATGACCTTGGGCAGGTTTGGGGGATGGTAACATTAGGTGAGGGGTGCTTAGCCTGGGAAGGGGGCAGAACTGATCTTGGATGGGAGAGAGTCTGGGAGGGGACGCAGGGAAGTTTGTGGCTTGTAGTTGGAAGGTGAGAGCTATCTGGAACTTAGAGATGAGTTGATGGGCTGCATGGAAGGTGGCTCTGGTCAGGGACCACTTATCTATGGTGGCTCCAGTCACCTTGGGATCTTCCAGCAGGGATCAGCAGCCCCATTCCTGGCTCAGAGGAGGTTGACTTTGGGATTTGTCCATGGTTAGTTGTTTTCCAGGAAGGGCCTTCAAAGTTGAGAATCTTAATAAGCTCCTCCTGGGGGAGGATCTCATCCCACTCGCCCCATTCCTTCTGTGTGCTCCTGTCTCTAGAGAGGCTGGATCCATATGGTGAGGAGCATGGACACTGGGACCAGACCCCTGGGTTCAAATCCCAGCTTTGCCACTTAGTAGCTGTTAGAGCTTGGACAAAGATTTGGATGTCTGCATTTCAGTCTCTTCATCTATAAAATGTAGATAATAAGAATATCTACATCAGAGGGCTATCATGGTTATTTACTACATGCTAAATGATTAGAACAAGGCCTCACACATAGTAATAGCTCAGTCAACTTTAGCTATTATTATTATTCCTCAACAGACCCTCATGATCCCCTAGACAACTTCCCAACTCCACTACCCTACAAATCCTTCCAAAATCTGGCTCCCCTGGTCCATTTCAGGAAGCCTGCCTGATCAGACCCTCCTGTCCCTGCCTTTTCTGCTCCCCTGAGTCACATTCCTCAGCAGGTGTATCTAGCGAACAGCTCACAGGGATCTTGCAGTTGTGTGTGTACACATATCCACCTGTTGATAATCTCAGTGCATAGCACCTCCTTCTGTTCAGTTGGCCAAGCCAGAAACTTAGGTGCATCCTGACCCCACCCTCTGCCTTGGCCACTGTCTACCATCAGTCCCCAGGTTGGGTTGACTTGGCCTCCTTGATCTCCCCACTCTCTGCTCTTCCTGTTCCCCCGGCCCCCACAGTGACTCTGCCTGCTCATTCCTCACCAGAACCATTCCAGCAGCAACCTTCCTGCTTTCAGTCATTCCCCGTACAGCCCCCAAAGCATCTCATAAAACGCCAACCTGCCCTACCAGTTTCCACAGCACATGACCAGACAAATCCTCAAAGAACAAATGCATTTAGTAGTCAAACATACGGAAGAATCCCGCCTCACTAGTTATCAAAGACATGCAAATTAGAACAAAGAGGTATGTTTTGCCTATAAAATGAGCACATTTTAAAAAGAAAGAAAACGAGCTGCAATAAATGCAGTGAGACAGGCACTCTTACACTGCTGGTGGGAGCGTAGAATGCCACAGCTTTTTTTGAAAGCTACTTAGCTATGGGAATTGAAGTTTTCAGTCTTCATCCCCTTTAATCCAATAACCTTAACTTCTGAGAATATGTTCAAAGGAGATAATCTTCAGTACGGACAAAGTTTATGCATCCAGATGTTCCCTAATTTCTGTTCATCCATGTATTCAACCTATATTTATGGGGCACGGACCCAGACTCAAACACTGTGCTAGGTCAAGGATTCGGAGGGGAATGAGACACAGACCTGTCTTTAGGGTGTGGAGTCAGGAAGATGTGGGTGGCCGTGAGGAGAGGGAATGGATCAGATGACAGACAGCAAACAGATGAATGGAATATGGCACAGTGAAGGCTGCGATTACTTTAAGTATAAGATGCTATGAGGGCAAATCGGAGAGTGGTACCTGAGACTTGACAGGTGAGGAGGAAATCAGGGAAGCTTCCTGGCGGAGGTGACCTCTAAGCTAGGACCTGAGGAATTAGACGTTATCCGAGCAAAGAAGGCAGTGGAGGGATAAGTCCATGAAAGGAAAACAACAGTGTGCAAAGGTGACCAATGTCTTAGGTTATCGCATCTTCCCTCGGATTTCCCTATCAACCACCTCCAAGGTCTGAATCATTCCTCCGTACTCAACTTCCTCCTTGTGTTGCCTTCGTCGACCTTCCCCTCGCAAGAGCTCCTCCTGTGCAAACCTTTACTCTAGAACTTGCCAAACTAGACTGTAACTGTCTGCCCCACTGGGCTACGAGTTTCCTGTTTTATTAGACTTTGTATTCTCAGAGCCAAATCTGAGAGTCTGCCTCATAATTGGTGGTATTAGTCATTGTTTGTTCAGTAAATGAATAAAGCAATCAGTGAGTTCTTCATCTTCATTCTCTTTCCTAAACTGACTGCTACTCCTTTGCTAAAAACTCCATTTTCTTCAGGGTCAAGTCTATGCTCTTTATGAATAATCCCATATGATATTTCCTGAGGGAGACATTCTGCGGAGAGTTTTATGTCCTTATCTCATTGAAGTCTGACCACAATCCCTTGAAGGAGATGTTGTGATTATCTCTACCTTATAAATGAGGAAACTGCGGCTCAGAAAGGTTAGGTCACTGGTTCAGTGCCACACAGCTGAGGTTTGAACTTAGATCTGACTCCTAACCCAGAGCCTGGCATTTGGGGCTCCTTATACCTTGGTCCCAGCTCAACCCTGTGGCTCATCTCCCAGGGTTCCCCTGGCCCTGTTGTTATTTCCAAGGCACTTCATGTTCCCTGCCAGTCAGTGTCTCTCCTGCAAGAAGCCTTTGTCTCTCCTCATGCTCCAGCTCCACCTGAGCTCCCGGAGGGCTGGCTGCACCAGGGCTCCCTCCAGCTCCCGGAAGCAGGACCACCAAGACAGTATACTACGGGAGGTACCATCTGTGCTGCAGGGCAGGAAGAAGCTGGAGCGGGCTCGCTGCTGTCCTAGCTAGCTCCCTCCCAACCAGGATAGGGCAAGCCAATGCTTATCTTTAGCACTGTTTCTCAGCCAGGGCAGCCAGGCAGAGCTGGCCCCAAATGGCCCAGGTGAGCGCAATCTCTCAGGTCTGGGAGGGTGCTGAGACCCAGGCCTGCAGTAGGCACCTGCCAGTTTCTGACGCCCTTCCCCTGGCCCAGCCTGGGAGCCCTTAGTCCACAGAGGCCCCCGCCTGTCCACATTCCTTGCTTAGGTATTTTCAAAAAGAGCCACCGCCCCCCCACCTCCACCTGTAGGAGGGTGGTCCCTCAAACTCGTGCCCTGTTCCCTGTACCCTCCTTGCTTTCAAGAAGGGGTTAATGATCAGTCATTAGTTCTCAAGTGGGAACAAGCTTCCAGTCCCAGACAGACCCACGGGGATAGAGAGCTCTCAGTTATGGTGGGGAGTGCAGCCGCTAGGTCTTCGTTCTCTCACTTACCAGGGATCTCAGAGTTAAGGGAAACGAGGAGTTACCCGGCTCTTCACAGGCTGCAAGATCTCCCAGATCTTCCCTGCCCCACCGACCCACCCCTTGGACTGTCTCTTCCCCTTGGGCGATATTCCTTCGCAGAATCACCTTCCCCCAGGACCTCTGTGGCTCAGCTGGTACTCAGTTGGCTAGTCCTGGTGCCTCCTGGACTGTTCTGGACTGCTCTCAGGTCAGCTGTCCCACCCCATCTTCCTCCACACAGTGGCAGTATCTCCACTCACCTGAGTCCCTCTTTGAGAGCCATGCTGAGAAGCTGGTGCGACAGCCTTCCGTAAACCCTCTCAGCTAAAAGCCAGGTTAGAAACGACCTATCCCTTGTGACTGGGACAAAGCAGTTCCAGTCCATCTGGAACCACACCCACAAGGGCCAGCAGAGTTGAAGTGCATTGGGAGAGATTTGTTTGAGAGCAGAACCTGCTGGAGGAAGCCGGCCTCAGGATGGGGTGGGGGCTGGGAACCTCCTTGGGGCCAATTACCTGGAACAGAGCGGAGTGAGGCCAGCTCTGATTGGCCAGAGGCGCTGAGCCTTTTGTACTGACTCCTCTTCCCTCCCCAGTGCTCCTTGTGTCCCTCTCCACTGCCATCTGGTCTGGTCTGGGAAAGGCCCGCCTAAGGTCAGAGTCCTCGGGGGACTAGTGTTCTGTGTGGAGCTTCACACAGACCTCAGCAGCGCTGGACGCCTGATTGTGGTCTTGGACAATTTACCTCGTGGAATCCTTTACCTCCTCAGCAAATTGGGAGTACAGTCACCCGGGACAGTGTAAGAGCCACACAAGGTAGTGGAAATAGAGTTGTTCTGGAAAGTTTACACAGGGTGGGGTTTTTAAAACGGCAGGTTTTGATCCATCAGAGGGCCGTGAAATCAGTTTTATGGATCTTGACCAAGATTTAAAAAGTATGAACAGGAAGAGAATTGAAAAGAAAATATCAGAATATATTGTACATAAGAGCAGGTATTGTTTTGTGAAAGTTTTGTTTGAGTTATGTATATTTAAGTATGTAAGTGAGGGTTGGAAACACTTTTTAAACTGTCATGATCAAAAAAGATTTATAACATAGTTAAAAGACTTTATTTGATGTTAGTCCATTGAATATTTTTAAAGGGAAATTAGATGTATTCGATAGCATATAAACCAGGCAAAATTAAATCACTTATTATGATAGAGAAAAAGCACATTTGATAGTAAAGGAGAATTAAAATTTAAAAAATTCTACATAAAGAGTAAACACGAACAAGTATATACCTAATGGCGCACCCTTCAAACACGATTTCTTACTAAAGTAAAGAAATAGTGCCAATATTTACCTAAGTTAGTCACTCAAATTCACTGATCTCTTTTAGGAGTAGTCTGGTTCCCTCCTTCTCCACTGACATAAAAGCAAACTCAGGTGGGGATTGGCTTTCGTTGTCTTTCATAAAGGGAAAATAGAGGTCCGGAGTGGAGAGACTTGTCCAGACCTGGCCAGGCCACAGTGCACCTGCTCAGACGGCCTGGAGTGGGAGGCGAAGTGCATGGGGCTCCCCTAGGTGCCCTCTCCACTGGGCACCCTCCCCAAGGTTCTGTATGCCCTCCCACTTCCCCCTTAGCTCAGGGTCCTGTGCTGGGCCCCCAGTCCTGCTAGCCATGCCCTACCTCCTGGACTAACCAGACTTTCCAGTCGTGGTTCTACTCTCTAGGTGATCAACTACAGGTAAACTTTGGAGATACTGAAGGCCCGGTGCCAGACTGCTGCAATAAAGCGAGTATCACAATAAAGTGAATCGCAATATTTTTGTTTTCCCAGTGCAGTTGTTTATACTATACCATAGCATATTAAGTGTGCGATAGCATTATCTCTAAAATAATTTACATACCTTAATTTAAAAATACTTTATTGCTAAAAATGCTAACCCTCACCTGAGCCTTCAGTGAGTCACAATCTTTTCGCTGGTGCAGTGTTGATGGCTGCTGACTGACCAGGATGGTGGTTGCTGAAGGTCAGGATAGCTGTGGCAATTTTGTAAAATAAGACAATGAAGTCTGCCACATCGATTGACGCTTCCCTTCACGATTTCTCTGGAGCATGTGAAGCTGTTTGATAGAACTTTACCCATAGAACTTACAAAATTGGAAATCTCAAATTCTCTCAAAGCCTGATGCTGCTTTATCAACTCAGATTACGTAATATTCTAAATCCTTTGTTATTTCAACAATGTTTACAAGATCTTCATTTACCAGAAGCAGACAGACACAAAGTGAGCAAATGCTGTTGGAAAAATGCTTGCTTGAGGCAAGATTGCCACAAACCTTCAGTTTGTAAAAAATGCAGTATATGTGAACTGCAATAAAGGGCAAAAACTTGTGGTATGCGTGTTATTAGCTTCTCTTCTTCCATGTAGTACATTTTAACAGGCTTTCCAGAGAGGCATTATCAAGATATGGGTATTGACAGTTTTTTCTTGCTTTATCTTCCAGAGCCCTACCCTTAGAGACTGATTCCATAGGTTGGGGCCTGGGTCTCGAACCCACATTTTAAACAGGTGAAAACACTGCCTTAAGGAAAAACTCAGAGCAGGGGGAGGGGCAGGAAGCCAAGAGGCAGGAAGATTTTAAGCTCTGTGCAAACAGGGCACAGGAGTGTCTTGTTTACCATCAAGGCGTTTCTAGCACAAGGCCTGGTTCAGAGGCGTGTGGTCAGCACGAGCCACTGTTGGTCGCACATACGTCTCATCCCACTGGTCTGTGCTCCCACCTTCATGCCCATGCCTTTGTCTGAGCTGCCTGGGTCTGGAATGCCCTATCTCTATATGAGGCTTAGGTGTCAGCTTGGGGACAGTGACTCTTCTAATAATTTGCTATTGCAGCATCTAAAAAAATGCTCAGAAAGTGCTGAGTGAACCAAAGCCATTGTAAGGGCTATCCTGGACACCCAGCAGTGACGCCAAGTTTGTCTGCTGAGCAATGGGAGAGTCTGGGTTCTGCCTCAGGTGTTCCAGATATTCCTGGCCCAACAGTGTCATGTCTCCCCAAGAGGTAAGGGACCTCAGAGCTGAAGGGGCCCTGGACCCTCCCACTCCAGGGGACACCTGTGTGAAGAACAGTGGTGGAATCTGCTCCTCCTGTGAGAACTGGGACTAAGGGTAGCCTCAAATGACCTGGACCCAGCAAATGCAGAGGATATGCAGTCCAGTTAAGGTGGTCATCCGTTCCCCAACCCAGGAATCCACTCCTCTCCTTATGGGTGAAAAGTAGCCACTTAGGACCTGTATCTGCAGATAGGCATCCCCAGGAAAGAAAGGCACAGAAGTAACAGATTTTACAGATTTATTTTTAAAAAACAAAAAGGTTAAAAAAGTCCTTCATTTCCAACCCTGCCTGGGGGTGTGGGTGGGGAATAGAACAAGCTGAGAAAGGTGCCTACCTTCTTCCCGGGGAGAGGCCCACTCTTCCCCTGGGAGCCTGCAAAGGACAGGGCAAGTCAGAGGCAGGCCCTCGCCCTTCCTGCCCTGCCTCCTATGCAGTAGCTCAAGTTGCTGCTAGCAAGTTCGAGATGCAAAGTGTGGGAGTGGGAGGCCAAAGGCTGCCTTCTTCGCATCATGGTCACTCAGCTCTTCTCTTCCCTCAGACGTTCTCCGAGCCCCCAGCACTGGGGCCCCCAGGGTGGGTGGGCAGGACAGGAAGCTCAGCCGGGCCCAGCGCACCCACTGGGTTACATGGCCCGGCCCACCGGCAGCTTCCTTAATGCTGTTCGTGACACAGCAGGGCAGTCAGGGGGACTTCACAGTGTGGGGAAGGGGCTTCAGAGACATTGTGACAAGTCTGGAGAGGAACATCTCCTAATCTTCGTCGCTTTCTGATCTTGCCCCTCTGCACTGGGGCGGCCCTTTTTTTCTATTCCCCATCCTGAGGCTGAGTGGAGTCCAGGACAAAGCACTAAGTGGCTGCTACAAAACACCTGGAAATGTCAGAGGGTGGCTCTTGGCCTATCTGCCAGTCCAGGCTCCCACACAGTCATACAGTCACACACACAGCGTTAAGGCGTCTGTGCCAGCAGGCATGGCCAAACTGGGCCCAGCTTCTCTCTCTCCACCTGCGGAGGGTTAACGGGGGGAAACCTGGCTGCTTCAGAAACAAGCTGAAGGGGGAGAAGCTGGCAGCAGGAGAGTTAGCCAGGCCTGGAGAGGGAAGTGGGAGGAAGGCAGGCAAGGGCTTTCAAGGCCTCAGTTCGGGCCTGACGGCTGCCCTTAGGAGTAACCCAACTCATGTTGGGGAGCCCTGACCATATACCCCCTGGAAAATGGGGGACAGAGAGAGGGGAAGAGAGAGGGGCTAGAGTATTGGGACTTTGGAGGAAGCCAGTGCTATCAATATTTACAAGCATAAAGCCCCATCTTCTGTGCCACCTACCTCTCTGCCCCTCCCACAGAAAGAAAGGCCCCTGAGAGCCATGGGGAGGTGCCAAGACCTCATCACCAGCCACGCCCCATGGGGAGAGCCCCTGCCCTCCACCTGGCCCCATGTCTGGGCCCCTTAGGAATGTCTGTCTGGCTCTGCTCAGCTGGGAGGAGGTGTCCTGGGCCAGAATCCTGGCTGCCCTGGCCAGCCCTAGGAGTCTTTGAGCATGCTGATGCGGGCATAGATCTTCAGGGCGGGCCCCAGCTTGATGTTCATAGCACTCATCAGATGGTCCTCCTTGAGCAGCAGCAGAGCTTGCCCGTCGATTTCCTGGGCACGGAATTCCTCTGCTATCTCCTGGCAGCCTGAGGGAGACACCACCGAAGACAGTATCAATCAGAGCTACCGGTATTCACTCTTGGCACTCACTGCACTTTAGACACATCATCTCGTTTAATTCTCACAAACACACTTTGAGGAAGATGCTGCTGTTCTTCTTTTACAGCTTGAGAGAAGCTAAGTGACTTGTCCAAGGTAGCCAGATTCCAGGACGGCCCTCAGAGATCCAGGCCTCCTTATTCATGCATGTACTTGTTGAGACCCCCTCCCCTCAATGAACTGGCTGACCTGGGAGATGAATAAGGTACTGCAGTAGTGACAGCATGTCACTTCTGAGTCTAGATCATAAAGGGCACAGAAGCTTCCACCTTGCTCTTTTGGATATTTTGGAGTAAGCCAGCTACTATGTTGTGAGGACACTCAAGCAGCTCTCTGGAGAGGCCAACGTGGAGAGGAACTATGGCCTCCTGCCACGACCAGCCCACTACGCCATGTGAGTGAGGCACCTTAGAAGTGATTTCTCCAGCTCCTAACCTTCAGACAGCTGCAGCTCTGGCCGACATCGTCACTGAGACCTCGTAAGAGACCCCAAGCTAGAAATGTCCAGCTAAGCCGCTCCACGTTCCTGACCCACCAAACCCTTGAAATGAGAATTACTGTTTTAAGCCACTAAGTTTTGGGGTAACTTGTTTCACAACAAAATAACTACTGTAGATTCTGGTGCCTGGAAGAGGGGTGCTACCATAACAAGCCCTAAAAATGTGGGCATAGCCTTGAAAGTGACAGTGGACAGGAGCTGGAAGGACTTTGAGGAGTGTTAGTGAATGCCGAAGGTGCTTTGAGAACCAAGCAGAAGTCTGATGGTCTTTGAGAAACTCCTGGAGAGCCTTAAAGGAAAGTGAGGCAACTGTTATTCAAAACTGGAAGAAACAGACCCTTGTTATGAAATAAGAGAAAACTCAGTAACCTGTTTGCTGGTGGCAACATGTTCAGTTTAATGTACCTCATGAACTGAGTGATCTAGCTAAGGAGATTTTTAGGCAGAATGTTGAAGGTGTTGCCTGGCTCCTTATTGCTGCTTTCAGCAGAATGAGGAGAGAAATAAGATAAAGAAAAACATAAAAAAACCAGGATTTGCTTGTTTTAAAAATCTCTAGCCTCTCTGGATGGCAAATGATGCTAAAATTAAGAAATGGTTTCTAAGTAAAGATCAAATCCAGGGCACGGTCAAGAAAAAATGGTCTACAGATAAAACTGAAGGTGTGACTTAAATCTTTTGTTAAGACTTCAGAAAGATCTAAGGTGCTGCCTCAGAGAACTGTTCAATCAAAAGGCTAAGGATTTTATGGACATGCTTCACAGATCCTCTCCATTCAATAGCAGGGCTTCTATGATGATAAAGGACACTGTCTCTTAGCTTCAGAAGAAGCCCAATGTAAAGAAAGGCTTATCTTGAAGACATTTTTGAGTATGGTTTTTGTCTAATGAAGTGAGCCCCCACCAAGATACAAGGGAAGCCCACAGACTTTAAGAGAACCATACTGGCAGAAACACTGCTTGCTTGGACTGCAAGGGTCAGAGGTCATACAATGTAAAAAGCAGCTGGAAGGCCGAGAAAACTATTCCACTGAAAATGCACACTAGCTTTCATGGAAGAGGAGGAATGAATGAAACCTCTTGGTTCAGAGGGTGGAACCAAGAGTGAAAGAGAGTCACTCCCAGGCTTTGAGTCCTAATCGAGAAAATGCCAACATGTGTCCTGCTAGATTTCAGAACTGGTATCCTGTTTTTTCCCTTTTTGAATGGGTATGTCTACAGCAGTTATCCTAAACCTATCCCACCATATCTTGGATTTGTGGAGGGAAATGGATAACCTGTTTCTAGTTCTCAGGTCTGCAAAGGAGATGAATCGTATTTGAGGAGCTGGACCCCAGGAACCTCACTCATGCCTGGACCTCAGTAAGGTGATGCGATCCAGGACTTCAAACTACTGCTGTAATGGGGTGAGACTCAAGAGGAATTTGGTAGGGGGTCGGAGGACCTTTGCATGAGGCAGGAACATGAGTCACTGGGGGCCAGTGGTGGATTATGCAACCGGCCTCCAAACAGCTCCCAATAATCCTTGTTTCCCTTTCACGCCCTCATAAGTCCCCTTACACAATGAACAGAGTTGACTTGTGTGACCAATAAAAAACTGCGGAAGTGACAGTATTGTATGCAATTTCTGAGCCTAGGTCGCAAAGGGCAGTGGTTTCGACCTTGCTCTCCTGGATTATCACCTGTGGCAAAAACTGACTGCCATGTCATGAGAACAGTCGAGTAAGAGTGACCTGAAGAGGCCTATGTGAAGAACTGGGGTCTCCTGCCAACAGCCATACCCTACTTGAGAATCATGTGTGGCACCTTGGAAGAGGATCCATCTTACAGACCCAATCAAGTCTTTAGATGACCCTGCCTTGGCTGACATATTAATGGGAACCTCATAAGAGATCCTGCAGCAGAAGTGCCCAGCCGAGCCATTCTTGAAGTCTCATAGCTACCCACAGTAACTGTGTGGTAACAAATGCTGGGATGCAGCGATGATTAACACACAGAGTTAACCGGCAGAGCTGGGATTTGAGCCCAGTTCTGTCTAGAAGTCTGTGGTCTTAACCACTATACCCCACTCCAGTCTCTGAGTAACAGGCTTGTGGTTGCCATCAATACCTGACCTGGTTGGTGGCTGGGTGAGACTGGTGGAAAAAACAGTAGAGATGCTTTGGAGTCCCATTGAAAGCATCCATGAATTCAAGGTTCGCTTCTAGATTCTAGCCTTCAAAACCACCTGTACCCCACCACACAGGGTTATGTGGACTTCCCAGCTACATCATGTACTTTTGGATCTTCATGCCCTGCTCAAGCTGCTACCTGATGCAATCTTTCCATCTGGCAAGGGCCTACTTGTTCATTGTCATTCAGTTACAATTTCATTTTGATGTTCTCCTTAGATTTCCTACACTCCCCCTTGTCTCCCCTCCCAATGTGCTGCAGGAGACACATGGTTAATTACATTATCATCTCTGCATTTCACATGAACCACTTATCATACCAGTCAATATACTTAATTATAGCTATCAAATATTATTTACAGTTTGCTAGAATGTAAGCTCTTACAGGTAGAAACCTCATCTTATTCATCTCTGCACCCCAGTTCCTAAACCTAAGTCATTAACTGCCTAATCTTTCCTGGTGGTGGGAGGTGAGGTCTCTCATTTCCTTTTATGCCTTGCTATTCCAAGCAGGCATGGAACTTCTAAGGGCCTTACCTGGCAGAGAGCGGATAAATTCATAGACATCTTCTACGTTCCATTTGGTGGGCTCACTTGGCAGGAAGTGGTGTCCCATGCCCACCAGGTCCCGCATGTGCATGTCAGGGAGCTCCAGGTCCCGCTGGCCTTGTCGCCGGCGGGAGGTAGATGAGCTAGCTGATATGGGTGACAGGGGTTCTTCATAGCTTGAGTTATCTGAGCAACGGCTGGAGTCTTCCTGGCTGTGTGTTAACTGCAATGCGGCAGTAACTGAAAGGGGTACAGTGCCTGTTGGCTGGGAGCAGAGAAAAAGTTTTCTTCAGGATAAGGGAATAAACCATCTCTAGCAGAGTGACAGGCAAAGGCAGACATATTTTCCCTTTTCTGTCTTTGAATTCCTAGATCAAAAGCATCTTATATGTTGTCCCCTCTCTGATCCTAAGCAGAGTTAGTCCCTCCCAGTACCAGAGCATGTACCACACACTTCAGTGCATTTATCTGACTGTAGGTCTGTTGTTCCTTCTGGATGTGGGGTTTTAAACCAGGATTCTATGAGTTTCAAGGGGTGGTCAATGAGCCATCAGAAACAGCACGTGAAATTTCTTGCGTATGTCCATTTTGGACATAGCTCTCATCAGATTCTTAAAGAGGTTTACAACCCCAACAATAACAACGAGAAGCAAAATACACAAAGGTTCTGAAACAGCACACTAGGCTGTGAGTTCCTTTAGGGCCACCTAGAGCCTTAGCGCCTAACAGAGTTCCTGGCATACAGCTGGTGCTAAAAAAAAATAATGAATGAACACCCATGTTCCTGGTAGAGATCTTCAAGAACTCAGTGCTCTAATGTTCGAGAAGGGAACACAGTGGGAGGGTGAGGGTTGTAGGCTGCCTTCTCACCTAGCTCTCTATGTAAGACAGGAGATAAGCAAAATAGCGAGGCAGGGGAGACCCATGTCCATGGCCCCAGAAGTCATGGATGGAGACACACTGCAAGGGCAGAGGTGATGATGGGGTGAGGTCACTGAAAAGGGAAGTTACTTTGTAAGTGTCCATGGGTCTAAATGGGTGAGACGTGGGGAAGGCTTGATCTGACAGATTATGAGAAACAGGAACATGAGAGAGCATGCTGACATCAGCAGCGGAAAAAGAATGTGGGTGTCCCAGGCCATGGTAAAGAAGAGAGTGGATGGGGACTCTCACCTGCTTCTTGGTATCCTTGGTAAGTGGCGGCAGACTGGTTTTGCTGGCCCGGCGGCGGTTGTGGGTTGTGGCTCCGGCCTTCTGCAGCTTGCTCCGGTCCGAGTGGAAAAGCCCCACACGTTTTGTGCAACCCACATTGTACCTGCCAGAGTGAGGGGAACAAGGGAAGTCAGAGAAGTCATAGGGTGTATGGGCCCCGGGCAGAATAAGAGCAGCCAAGATACCGGGCAAAATCTGAGTCTGTCTATTGGTTCTAATCCTAAATCCCTCACGTGACACAACAACTTGGATCATGGTGAGAACCCACTGCAGACATATTCTACTATAGCTATTACCTGTGTTGAGTAACTACTGTCCATTGTCCTGGGGCAGGGTAGCTTGGCAAAGCTCCTCAAAGGTGCCTCATTACCTCCAGCACAACTCGAAGGGATGAGGGCCGAGACAGCCTTATTCTAGTTGGCCTCCAGAGGACCTATGGCTGGGGACCCAAAGACTTCTTCTCTTTGGGGGCTCAGGGGTTCAAGGTCAGCCGTCTCTTCCACCCTGGTACCAAGACCACATAGGGCTACAGAGTCAGATGAGTCTAAATCCCAAGTTCTAAATCCCAAAGGATAAGGCATGATGACTTATCCTTTGTGCCTCAGTTCCCAAATGTGTATAAATGGGACAATAGCAATACCTGCCTCAGAGTTATTTTGAAAATTACATGACATAATGCATATCAACAGACTAGCACAGTGCCTCGCACATGGCAGGCTCCCAATAAATAAAGCTGGTTTCTACTATGATCGTCAGTCGTCTACACTGTGTGATGCTCATAACTAGTACAGCGCTCTGGGCAAAGCTTCTGGCGGAGGGTTTACCCTAAGGAGACAATGGCTGCCAAGGGCAGGAAAAGAGGATGGGTGCCAGTAGGACCTGGAGGGCCAGCTAAGCTAAAGCACTGCTTCTTCTCCTTGATTCTGCGCTGCTCTGCTTGGGGGAATTCTTTGGTCAATCAGCGATATGATGCTGTTTTCAAGATGGTCAAGGAAATAGGAAGTTAGATAAACTACACCTATGGCCTCTTGGGGTGGACTATTACTGAAGGGAGGTGGGACACAGGAGCAGGATACAAAGGTGCAAGCCTGAGGAAAGGGAAGGGGCTGGGCACAGCAATGGGGCTGAGACCACTCACCTTTTTGCACAAGCCATGGAACAGAAGCGCTTGGAACGCTTGAACTTGTAGGCAAAGTCCACCCGGCCACAGAGCTCACACTTGAGTTTGAGAGGGGTACCCTCCTCTTTGGATTCTGAAAAGTATAGAAATTGGTAGGTGTGGAGAATGAGCAATTCCCACAGCACTGTCGGCAGTCCCACCATGGGGCCTCCCTACTCTCTTCTGCCTCCTCATGTTCCCACAGCTGTGGCACGGGGCAGCAATCTTGCTTGGAAAATGCAAACCTCCTTTGTCACTGTTTTTGGAAGGGCTGTTTCCCTCTCTAGAAAGCACCCAGAAGTGTCTGTCTGGTGATGCATCTGAGACGCTGACAGTTTTTTCTTTTAAGTGATATAAGCCTAGGCAAACACAGGTGGGGAAGAATCAGCACTCTCCTTATGATCCTGGAAGAGCAAGAGTCACTCCCGATCTGGAATTCTCCTACCCTCCCTTGATTCGTCTAGCTGGCTAGTGACCTGGATAACAGAACCCAAGAGTTTTGTAACCTGTGCAGCGCCCCCTTCCCCAACTCTCCAGTCAGTCAGTGGCTCATGTGGCAAGTGCAGTCCTCCCCTGGCTGCCGCTGTGCCCCAGTCCTGAGAGCAGGCTCCTGAGGCAGTGAAGGAAGGGCACGACCTGCCTGGTGCCACTCCTGCCGCCCTACAACTTGCCAATCACTCACATAAGAAAAGCAACTTTTGGAATCCTGTGGTTGGCTAGAGTGGGGCTGGAGGAGAGGCAGGGGACAAAGTTCCCCAAGGGCAGAGACTTCTCCTGTCTTAGGGATAGGGGCTGATAAGGTACTGGGGGAAACGAAACGTTTAGCGGGCTGACATGTTTACATGCTTCCTGGCTCAGAGTTCCTCCATGGATACCAAAAAAGGAAGTGTGTAAAGCCTATCTTTCCAGCCTTGCCTACTTCCTGTTTGGCCGAAGCAGAAGGCCTTAACATTCAGGGTCTGAGACACCTACCTTGCAGATAGGGCTCCTCCATCTCGGAGTCAGTGGTGGTGGTATGATCCTGCTGTGGAAGTTTCTCAGGCAAAAACCCCTGTGCATACTTCTTCTTGAGATTTCCTACCAGCAGGGACGAACGTCCCACCTAGAGGACAAGGTGACATGGAGGCCATGAGGGTTAGGTGGGAGATGCTTCTTTGCTATCCAGCCTCATCAAAATTACATGTATAAAAAGCATCTAGGTGCAGATGCCAGCCCCTATATCATCACCTAAGTATGCCCTGCTCAAGGCCTATTTTGCTGTTTAATAAGGCAAGATGTCAATGGACACTACAGTGAAGGGATGGCTTCAATCCAGGACCAAGGAATGGCTTAGGAGGTTAAGAAAATATCAACTCTTCCAAATGTCTAAGGGGCAGAGATGGAGGCAGAGATCAGGTTTCCCACCCTGCCAGAACAGGTGCCAGGACCCAGTGCTTACACGTCACCAGGCAGGAATACAGCCAAGGCTGTGTGTGAGTGTATGTATGAGACAGAGAAACTTAGCAACCACTTTTTGATTTCTTATTGTTTTCTACCTTACTACTGCCCTACCCAAGGTAAAGGTACAGGCAGCACTGGAGAATAGGAAAAAAAACCCAACAGACTCTGGGCTCAGAGCAAATGCCCTCTGTGGTTGCCAGGATCTCAGACTGGCTAAATCGCTCTTTTGATCCTCCCTTTGTTGCCCTTGTTCAGGAAGCCTGGTGGCCAGATCTCCAGAGCAATGCTGGGTGTGCCACTGAATCTACATCTACCTTGTGAGATCATTTGGCTTCCGATGTTTCTCCAGAGGGCCAAGAGGAGGACATAGTCTAATGAGAGAAGGGATATGACAGGGCTAGAGCTACTTATAGCTAAGGCACTCCAGGTGGATTTCTTTGCCACAGGCCTTGAACAATCTCAGGAAGAGACAAGAACCTATGTGCCTTTTGGCATTTTAGAAGGGCAGGAAACCCATCTCAGTTAATCAAATTTAGAGTCTTCTGCTGACTATTCAATCCATGTGTGGATCCAAAGAATGAGCAGAAGGCAGATGGCATCCTATGAAGATAATGTCTCTAACAGCCAGATAATTTTATCACAAGAGGGGCTAGTGTGCACCTGGCTTGGGGCTCCTCCCATCTACAGAACAGGACCACATGTCCTCACTAGTCTGCACTGGCTGCTTTGTTCTAATAAGCCGTTTTCTTGATTCTTTTATATTTCCTTTTGGTCATAAGCTTCAATTAGAGAAACTTGATTGTGCCCTTTCTGAAATGCCCCATTTTTTCATTCACCACCCTTTCAAGGCTCTGTCCCCAGAAAAGCTTCAGGCTAGAACCCTGTTCTTTTCATTTCGGATATATCTTGAGAATCCTCTTCTACACAGGTTCCTTTTATTCTCTACCAGGCCAAAGGTTTTGGCATTCAAAACTGAGTGGGGTCTCATTTCCCAAAGTCCCCCTTCTGGCACCAGACGCTCCAAGGGTGAGTTCCCTTCTAACCAAGGGGTTGACACATCACCAGGCAGGACACATCTGAGTCTGTGTGTGGACACTTCTAACCATGGGGTCTTGCCAATTATTACTAGTCACTGAACCCTCCGGGAACTCAAGAAGATACTCAACTCTAGAAAGAAAATGGCTCTCACATTCCTTTGGGGGAAAATTAGCAAGGAAAAAACAACCTTTTCACATTTTTGGAAATTTTACATGGAAACGTAAAAATATTCTAATACACATCCAAAATATACTTAAAAAAAAAAAGAAAAGAAAGAAAAAAGACGGGAAAAGAAGTAGTCCGTACCGGGAAAGGCTCCGCCCCCTCCTGGATCACAAACCCTTCGATAACATGCGTCAGGATTTGGGGTTTCACAATGGCCTGTGGTGGTTTATTCTCACCATTCTGGGGGGCAGTGCCGGTGATGCTGGAGGCAGAATTTCCGTTCCCTGAGGTCATGCCGGGGCTGCTGAGGTCGGTCAGTGCATGAACAATGCCCTGCCCTGTCTCTGTACAGGGAAAGTAGGGAAACACAAGCAGGAAAGGTCAGAACCAAGTCCAGGCCAGGAGAAGAGCAGGGACTCAACATGGGCCTGGCATTTCTCATGAAGCCAAGACGATGCAAACCAAGCAGTCCCCTCTCAGCGACCTATTTAACAATGATGCAGTGGCAATGGACACACCACCAGGTGTGACTATAATTAGTTGTGCAACAATGCAGCTAATCAGCTAGCAGTGTTTCTTAATTTCCCAACTGTGCTAAGAACAGTTCGACCAGGTTAAACAGACAAGAATTCTGCCTCTGAGGAGTGAAGACCTTGATCAATATTGATATGGACAAATAAGGTAACATTCAGTTCAAGGGAGAAAATGTATTCAAAGTGATGTCTAAAACTAGAACAAAAAGCTGAACTAGATATAGGGCTTGGGGTATAATGAGGTTTGGGGGAGACAGGTTATTAAGTAAACCTTCTATTATAAGGTTCCTTGGAAAAGGGTTAGATTTTAAGTGTCTTGTGAAATGTCAAAGTACCCCAAGAAATCAATGTAAAGGGAATTTGGGGGCTGAGCCCCAAGTCAACACAGCAATGTAGCTCTGACTATTCAGAGACTAGTTATTTGGGGTCCCTGCATTAAGATACACATATGTTCTATTTTTCCTCCAAGGAAGCCACTAGGCAGAGATTCTATGCTGTTTCTGCTGGTCCTGTGCTCTCAGTCAAAGCCTCTGGTCCAGTTCTCAACTCCATATCCAATCTAATCCTCAGCCAACCAGATTCCTTCCCTCCATCCCTCTGTGGACAACTTTTCCTAAATTCTGCTCTATGAACCCACTAGCCTTCCTCTGAAAGAGCTAACAGCATGCCCCAAAAGTGTGATGAGGTGTCCACACAGAACCACACAATGGGCCTCCTCTTCCCCACCTCAAACAGCACCTCTCAGGAGCTGCCCCTCAGGAGCTGTTTTAGAGGTGCAAGGCTTCATCACTTCACTTCTGTAACTCTCCCCCCACCCTTCCCTTCTCAGGGCCATTCTCTACCACTACCAACTGCCTAATGAGCTGAGGATGTTGGAACTTCTTAGAAAAGAGAAAAAAAAAAAAAAGGGAAGAAAAAGCCATTTCTTTATTGATATTAATAGCCTATTAATATTAAGTATAACACAGCGTGTGTCTGTTAACATACTTTAAAAATGATTTCAGTGAATTTATTAATTTTTGCACAAAACTTTATACGAAGACACTCTTACTTCACGTTAAAGATCCAAAATACCGCCATGGAACTGGAACTCATAGTGCCTAATTGTGTAGCATAGAGAAATCAAAATAAACTCATTTTAGCAAGGTTTATAACTAGTTTATTTTCTTACTCGTAGCCCTAATGCTCAATAAACTAGAATAAATTTTTTGATGAAAAAGAGTTGGCTATGACATGTGCCTATAGTACTCAGATCTCCATAATTCGACTATAATCAACTTCAGAACTGAGCAAGAGTCATCCAAGAGATGTGACTGATGCGGTATTTTTAAAAAATGTGACAATCACACCAGCAAGTTAGAAAAATTCCCTTAAAAGTGTTTATAGTCATTTATAAAAAAAAAGTCATTTATAAAACAGCTTTGGCTTTTCTGTAAAGATGGAAAATTTCTCACCTTTTGGAATTAGTCTTTCTAAACTGTAAAGGTGTTTTGGAACTGGAAAAAAAACTTTTCTTAAAATCCACGAATAACTAGGAGAACTGAGTTAATTACATAATCAATCAAATTAAGTTTCTCTGCCTTTAAATTTTAAAGTCTGCATTGACATAATTACATTTTCTACTTTAAAAATATTTTAAAAATTCAAAGAAACAAGTATATATTTTATTTAAAATGATGAATAAATATAAAAATTCAAAGCTTACTATGTAAATTAAAATTTTATTTTTAGATAATGGCTACTTCCTTTTAAATAAAACCTCGTAAAAAATCTCTGATTACTCAAATGGACTAGATTATAGAATCAAGATCATAAAGTCTGGTTCAACCTCTTACTAATGCTTGAACCTGCTCAGTAATACCCTCAACTCAAGGATTTTCTGGCATGTGTTTAAATATCTCTGGTGATAAAGGAACTCACTACCTCTGAAGTAGTTTGTTCCTACCTTGGGCAGTTCAATTAAAAAATTCTTCCTTAAAATGAGGCAAAATCTATCTTCTGTTCATTTCTGCTCACTTATCCTGGCCCTGTTCCTTACGACCACACAGACAAGGCTAATCATATCCGTATCATGGGCAAAAACATGAGCTTAGACCTGGCTTAGAGACTGGCCTCTATCACTTAAGTGGATTAAGGGCAAGTCCTCATCTCTCTCCGAGTCTCAGTTCCGCTGGCTGTAAGATAAGGACTATAATAATACCTTCTAGTGTCACTGTGAAGACTAAATGAGATAATGAATAGCAGTGCAGTGACAGCACACTAGGAAATGCTCAAGAAATGCTCTTGAGTGTCATGAAAAATGCCACTCATGACCCCGGAATATCTTCTCTCTTCCAGGCCAAACTCCCTCTGCTCTTTCTTATATAAAAAAGGTTTCAAGTTCATCATCAATCTAGGTCTTCTTTGCTGGCATTTTTTAAAGTCTACCCAGTCAATGCTAACATAGTAACAAGTATATCGATTTAAGAGATCGAGTAGGTATGATTTTTGTTTTGTTTCTTTTAAAATCACATTCCTGACTGAGAGCACAGGTAGAGGGAAATGAATGACTTCCTTGCTTTAGATTATAATTCCTTTTTGGAATTAATCCATTCTTCCCTGAATTCTGGGATCACTCTCACTTCCTGCTTTTTTTCACTGACATTCATCACCAAACAGCCTATGATCCCTTCTTGTCTCCTTTTATGGGAACTCTTTATCCTTGCTCAACTCCTCTCCTTCCCTCTCCATCCCTTCCCTCCTGTCTCTCAGATCTGTGCCTATTAATGTACACTATAAGGCAGGGTAACTCTTAAGGTCAGATTCTTTCCTCATGCCAAATACAGTGAACAAGACACATTCACCAGCTCAGAGGCTAGAGGGCCAACAAGCAGATAAACCGTTTCACCATACCATTACAAACTATCACTCCCATAACTTGGGCAGGTTGCAGGAGAGACAGAATTCAAGGGAAAGAAGGGAGAGTGTTTTATGAACACACAAGTTTGCAACTACTGTGCTTTGCATTCATCTTTTAGGCAAGTACTTCACCGTCTGCTTTAGTAACAAAGGAGTTTGGGCTATTTCTGGAATGACCAAACACAATCTCACCCCCTGCCAGGCTCAGCACTCTGCGATTAATTTAATCTGTTTCTCCACTCTCCCAGACTGCTTTGCGGCCTGCTTGCAGGGAAAGCAGCTTAATAGGGAAACTTGCAGAAACCTGCCCTGCTGGCCTTTAGGCCAGATAAAAGACAGAGACAAAGCAATACTCCATCTTTGGAATTCTTCTTTAATTCTCTTGAATAGGCTGTAAGGGATGCCAGGGACTTCCAGGGGTCTCAAATGCCTTTATACAGAGTTAGGCACCTGAAATCTGAAAGGCCAAGACATCAGGAGTTCAAGAGGCTGTAGAAGGGCAGTAAAGCCATGCTTTAGTGGTGGTAGTGCTGGGGGCAAGGTAGATTCTAACCTTTAATTGAAACTGACCACAAAGGGCCAAATATTCAGATCAGAAGGAACAGAACAGTATGTTCTGGGGGAGTTGTTACATAATATATGTCTCAACCTCTAGCGTCTCAATTCTGGTCTCATTCATAGGCTATGGCAAAAATAACTCTTACAGGGTAAGGATAAAATAGGAAGGACCAGCCAGTGGCCCTGTTTATGAAATGATTTGCTTTGGGGCTGGTCTCCTTTGCTAGGCAGAGCAGGTTTCTTTAGGCAGGGGGCTATGTCTTACTTACTTCTATATCTTCAGGGGCTAACCCAACGTCCAATATATGACAGATACTTAATGTCTATTAAGCAGGAA